GTTCTGCTCTCTACGTATATCTTTAGCATCAATCAACAACTATGAGGACAACAATTCATTATCGGCCGGGGGATGCTGTCGCTGCCGTTCTAGTTGCTCGGTTGCCGCCGTTAGCTTCGACCCGGTGGTCATGCCACACCTAGGCAATGATTTATGATGCAAGCAGCAACAGAGAAATCAAAAATGTGGAACGCCATTTAACTTGTTGTCTGGCTCGAGAAAAATAAAGCATAATAATGCCAGAAGAAAGCATAAATACAAGCAGAAACTGTCAAATCACATCAAGCCATATGTTGCAGCAAATTTAATTCATTTGGCCTGCTACTAGTTGTCATAAATCAAGTAAAAGTCGTTGCAAGCGCGTTGCCTCCTTCTCTATCTCTGTCTCTCACTTACTCACTCTCTGCCTGTCTCTCTGCTGCTGCTGCTGCTCGTTGCAGCACGAATGTAGGCAATAGTTTTTTTGCCTTTCCGTTTTCTATTCGTCCACATTACGCATACGCCGAGTTGGAAGTTCGAAAAACTGTAAATCGAAAAATTGAACTCAACTGGGAACAAGCTGTGCCGGCAACGCGACTATTGAAAATTGAAAAGAAAAAATGGCTGTGGGGGTGCAAGGTCTAAGGCATGTGTATAGCGCGCATACATAGTGAAAGCAACAAACAGGAAAATCAATTAATATGTGCAGCTTCAAACAGGAGCGCACGCATACAACCACACGAGTTGCCCTTCAACTCCGCCCCCAGCCCCAAACGGCATACAAAAATTTAATAAAAAGCCAAACAAGCATCAAGCAACAAAAGCTAAGCAAAAACAATACAAAAGGATATTCACTCTTCCCTCACACATGTGTGTGTGTGTGTGTTTGGGTTAGGGCTTGTTGTTGCTGCTGCCATTATGGTACTTCTCATCGTCTCCTGCCCTTTGTCCCATCACCCACTTGCCACTTATACTTTATTAGCTGCCTGCGTTTGGCTGCTTATTAAAAATCGCAAATGGTAAATGCGGCAACCGCCTCTGACCAGAGCAACAGAGCGCTGCTGATTATGAGCTTAGGCGGAGGCTATACAAGCCAGCAAATTCCAGAGGCTTTTCCCCCTGCCCCGACGCTGCCTAATGCCTACTCATGCCAGCGCACAGCTTCCACCACGCCTCCCACACTTGGCTGCCTGCTTATATGGCTTACCTTTTTGGGTGGCCGACAAAACAAATGACAACCCAAATTATTTTGACACCATTACCAAAAATGTTCAACACACACACACACACACACACGGAGTGGCGCACACTCAAGTGGCAGCCAGACTCTAGGCGAGGCGTGGCTGTGGGCGTCTGCGAAGGAGTGGCAGACATGGCAACATATTGTGCCATGTTCTATGCATCAAAAACAAAAACACACACACATGCAAGAGAGAGAGAGAGAGAGAGAGACTCGCACACGCTCATGGAAATTGCTGGGGACGTTGCTGCTGCTCCTGTGTATCACTGTCTGTAGCCCTCGACCTCCCACGCTCTGTGCTGTCTGCCCGTCAGATTGTCCTTTTGTGGCTCCTGAATACGCGTCCCCCTAATGCCAGCCAGCCAACCAACCAGCCAGCCATTGCCCGCTGCCCAGCGCTCCCGTCTGCCATGCAGCCGTCCACGTGGCCGACTGGCCGTGTCTGGTCGTGTTGTACGTGCGTGGCGTGCGTTCTGCTGCAAATTGCCAGTTAAAATTTCTGACATGTCAGCAAACGGTGTCTGCAGCGCCAACTCACCGTGGGAGCGACTGACTAGCTGCAAGGATGCACAGCATTAATACTGTATCAGACAAATCTGCAAGACAGTCGAGCTGTGCTCAATCTTCAACGCAATCTGTAAGCTATCGTTTTTTTCTCTCGATAGATGTGTCTATCGAAGTGTCAGCGTTATTGGTTGTTATTCTTATGGCTCGCAGCGCTGTTGCTTATTAACACAATACAGCAATTTATTGCTCCAAATATGCAGAATAGTCAAGTCTTGTTATCGATAAGTTCTATGAGAAATTGGCAATTAAACTACACTTTAAAGTGTAAGCTCAGTGTTATCGATAAAGTGTGACTATCTAAATGTCAGCTAGCTCATGGCTGATCGAAGTTGACAGTATCATTATCGCTAGATCTGTCGATAATTAAAGCAATATCAAACCTTAAACGATAACTGACGCATACAACAATTTGTAATTTTCAATGATAAATCTTCAACTTGTAAGATTCATTTAAGCGGTAGTGAAATATGGATATCGACACTGATATCGATTAACAACACTCTGTGAAGCTTCGTCACTACGCACTAAGAACAGGTGCCATATGGCTTTATATTGCGTGTCAGATGCTCGCCCATTGTGCCTACATTGCGATTTAGTATATATATAAGTGTGTGTGAGTGTGAGTGTGTGTGTAAGTGTGTATGGATGAATGCTTGGCTGGTTAAGTGGTAGCTGCTGATGGGCTGCTGCTACATGGGCGACGGTGCGGTGCCTGGGCAGAAGATCAACAATGGCACGCTTTGTCATACGAAAAATGGGCGACATGCAGCTCGGGACAGGGCAGACGGGATTGGTTTAGAGCGAGGGGCACAACATATTCAATAGATGTCCCGAGCCTGGCTGGTTGCCTGCCTGCCTGGCTGACTGGCTGTCTGGCTGGTTGTCTAGCTGTCTGCCTGCCTGCCTGCGTGGCTGCATGGTTGGCTGTGTGTTAACAGCTGCGGTGCAGGGCATTGACAAGAGTCGTAATTGAAAGGCAGCTGCCAGAGACTGAGGCAACATTTTGTATAATATGCACATGGAAACATAGTCGGATAAAGGTGTTGCCTGCACTACGTCAGCTCTGATGTCTTTGCCCGTTATCTTTGTTACAATGTTAGTTCAATATAACGTATAATTTGAACAACTTCCTCGCCCCACATCACAAATCTCATTGAGTGGAAGCTGGCCCAGAGGCCTGGAATCAAATTCGAGTTCCACTGTAATTTATACAGTTGTAATTTATACATAACAATAAAGTATTTAGTTATGATAAATATGATTTATGGGCCGTAGGTGCTAAGCTGCAGCTCATTAACTCTTATGCTGTCGATAGACAATATTTACTAATGCTGATGCCGACTGCGGGCCAGTTAATTGTCAACGCCTGCGCACGACCTTCTGGCTATAAATATATATATTTGAAATTGAAATTGAAAACTAAACGCTTGCCAGCTTGCCATAAATATCTATAAAGGAAAAAAATAAAATAAATGAAATAAAAGCGAGTATAAAATGCGCAATGTACGGCGCGCATTTCAAGGGCATTCGATATAATTTTGAACGCGTGCCGCGGCATACAAAACTTGGCAATTGGTAAAGCAAATAAAAACATAAAAAGCCCAAGACTGCATTCCAATGCTGGCCATAATTATGAAGCGGGGGTGAGGGTTAAATGCAAGGATGGTCAATGCTTTGACCCAGCTACAACGGCTGCTGCTCAAGTATGCAAAGCACAAGGCGCAAGCAATAAAAATAATAATATGAAAAAAAAAAACTGACTGAAAAATTAAGGCGAAAAGCCGAAAAATCGAAAAACCGAAATGACGCGATCTAAATGCCATTGAAGTGTCAGTTTGGCCACGTTCGGGCCGGAGTTCGAGTTCGGCTTGAAGTATGTTGGCCATAACGCATTCGAGTATCAATCTGTATGCGGTTCAAGTTGGGTCACTTGGCCTGGCCTAGCATGGCCTGGCTCGGCCTGGTCGGCCAGCCAATTGGTACTGTGAGTCAAAAATGTTGTAAATTGGTATTCAAATGGCAGTTAAAACTCAGCACTCGACTCTGGCCGTGCGACAACTGACAAGCAAACACAATTGACAATCGAGTGTTGTCCATTGAAAGCAACTGCCAAAAATAAGTTGAGATTGCGAGCAGCATGTGACACTTGGCTTTTGGTCTTCAAGTTGTTGTCCGCATTAACTCGAGTGCCAGTCGAAGTGGCAACATTTAAGGGTCTGTTTTTTTTTTTTTATTATTATTATTTTCCCATTATATTGCTGTCAAAGTTCATGTCAATTGAGCTGAATTGAGAGCAGCGCATTTGACATCAAATTTGTGAGTTTGCTTAGCAAGCAATTTAGTTTGACACGGCCTGGCCGCTGCTGTGCCCAACAATTTGCAATTCCATTCCATTTTCAACAGCTTAAGAATTAAATATCGGCTTTCAAACCAGTTCAACAATATGCTAAGACAAGCATTAGCTCTTGCGCTTCTCTGACCCTAGTTTTTTTTTTTTTTTTGGAGCGCTCATCTTTCACTCGATATGCATATGAATAGCTGACGTTCCCTATGCTAATTAGGCCGACGAAATCACCATCAGCCGTATCACTGGCAACATTATCAATAAACATCAGCATCGAGCCCGGTCCTGCCATGTCACAGCCGGCGCTCGCCAACCCTCCGCTGAGCTTGAGTCCTATCTATAACAATTTTCCCATTTGCTGTTGTTTGCATTGTTGGCTGTCAGCCGGCGATTTGGCGCACATTGATAAATGATGCATTGGGTAAACTGAGCTCAATTCGACGCTAATTTTCTGTGACAAATTTCAACAGCTACATGTCAATACTTATAGTTGAGTCGCATTGAGTCGACTCCTTACTCCTTACTCGAGCTCTTACTCTTCACTTCAAGTGTAGCCTGTCTATTCAATTTTCCCGCTGGGGAAGTTTGCCTTGATTGAGGCACTTACGGGACGCACTTAATGCCAGCTTGACATGCAACTAAGGTATTTACGCGACTTATATATTTAGACTCCAATATATATATATAAATATATATATAGATTCAGTTCTTTCCAGCCTGCGCACTTACACTTGTTATCGCTCCATCACGGTAGCTGGTTTATACAAATCTCAATGCCCATAAATCTATATAGCACTTATATAAATAAATAAATATATATATATATATGTATGTATAACTTCAGCTAATGCTAATCTATTTTGTTTTCAGCTTCTGTTTCCGTTTCGCCATTGGCAGGGCCCAAAATTAATGGTAATTTCATGCTGTCATTGCGCAAAAATCAACACGGCCCCCGAAGCGCCAGCAGAACAAAGCACAAAGGTAGGTAACTGGGTAATTAAAAGTCTATTAGGGGTAGCTCCAAACTTACAGCTATAGAATACATCCCATTACCAAAAAAATAATAAAAAAGAACACCTCATAGTCTTACATTATGGCCTACTGAAGGGGGTTCATTGGGGCGCTCTGTGTATATGTTTCTTCTTTGGCCTTTGTATATATGGCGAAATGTTTGCCAATGAAAATAAATTGGCAAGACGAGCGCCTGGGCCCGGCCAGGGCCAGGAGTTGGACGGTTGTTGGGGACACTCACTTCTTTGGCAACAGAAAATTGCAAAGTTGTCAGCGCTTTTTGTCGCAGCAAACTCAATCAAGAATTTCAGCCAAAATTGTGTCATATACAAAGATTTAATTAATATCATCGCATTCGCAATTTGGGCATCATTTGCATTCCAATGGATATTTTGCAGAGGACAGTAAAAGCATCAACGAATATCTTATTGTCTGCTTAAAAGTGATGTTCAATTTGAGAGGAATAAAGCTGTTTAAATGACAACGGCAATGAGTAACACTATTGCTTTAAGTATTTTCAAGTAACAGGAATGTCTGCTCGGAAGTCTATTGGGCAGCGCAGAGGTGGAGCCTATGAATAAATGATTACTATAATCACCCGATAGCCTTGACAATGGTTTATCTTCAGTTTCGACCGTCAGTTCATTTGGCTTTTTACCATATTCCAATGTTTATTATTAACTTTGATTAGATCATCGCTAGATTCGCTTAAGACGCAGCTAATAATCAGCTTTAATGAATTTCATATTACAATACACTCACACAGCTACATACCTACTCATACACACGCTCATATGTATCGAATTGCTTTCTCCACACATAAACACGTTCTATCTAACAGAGCAGCATAGCAACTAGGTTAGTCGTCGTACATACATATGCATATAGTATATTATCGCAGCTCATAACTCATGTGATGTATTATGAATGGCTCCGTGGCAGAGTTTAATTGAAATGCAGTTTAGCTTTTAGCTGAATCATGACTCTCCGACTTCATGGAGTTATGTTATGCTGGCTCGTGCTATTGCACACACCTGTTCCTTATCTGATTTGTCATGGACTGCGACGGCAGATTGCCTGGCGCTAATTAATTAGCTTTATGCGCATAATTAAATGGTGTATACACAGATTCTTTTTGCTTTAGCTTTTTCCATTTTTTCATTTGCTATTTTTTTTTTTGTATTTATTTATTTTCGTCATGTTTGCACTCACGACGACTCGACTCGGCTCGAGTCGACTCGAGTTGTTGGGCCAAAAAGTTTTGCCAGCCAATTTTTCATACATCTTGGCCATAATGGCCAGCAATTACGTCGGCCATCCGGCTGGGCTAAGCTGGGCCAAGTTGGCCAAGCTGGCCAAGCTGGCTGGCTGCCTGAGCTGGACGAGTAGCAAGTCCACTTGCTGATGATCATAATCGTTAATACATAGTCATAATCGTAGCTATGCTAGATGTAGTCGTCGCTCATCTGCCGGAAGTTGGGCATACGAAAAATGTTGTTGGTAATTAATGCCGTGGCCTGGTCCGGTCAGAGCGCGTTCAGCTTGGGCTTTTGATTATTTGATTTTCACGGTTAGTTAAGCGACTGAAATTATTTTCAAGCAATGTGGAAACTGAATGATTGATTGATATAGACATTTATGGACGGACATATGTTGAAAAGGATTACCGAACCGACAGGTAGGCAGGAAGTTGACGAAAATTCTTGATTAAATTTAATAGTTTTAATTAGTTGGTATCATCAATATACAAATTAACATTATCAACAGCTGGCATCATTATCGCCACTATCATTGGGATGCTTAGACCGAATCGTCATACGATAAACCGTTTATGCAATTCACACTCCCAGCATCCACAGGCCAAAAGCAGCCATCAATTATGCAGCAACAGTTTGCAAATGATTATTAACTTATTAATGTTTGCATTGTTTTTTAAATACATCAATGTTTAAATGACAACCGAATGTGGGCACGTGTGTGTCTGTGTGGTTATCTGTACAATGCATAAAATTAATATCATGTTTTTCTGTTTATTTTTTGTTTTTGTTTTTTTTTTATTATATTATTATTAAAATTTATATTTTATCATTATGTCGTGGATGGAGTTTACATTTTTTCAATCGTACGCTTTGTTAATTGCGTTAAGCCCCAGTCAATTATCAAATATACAAACCGCAATGTTTATAACGATGATAAAGCCAACGATCATGATGTTGTTGAAGGAGAGAAGGGGTCGTTGCCAGAGCCAGCGGCTTGTTCAGATTTTTAATTATAATTCCATGACGTTAACGACTTGTCTGTCCGTCTCTCTCTGTCGCTCTGTCTGCCTGTCTGTTGTTATTTTAAATAGTTTTGCCATTGCTATTGCCATTGTTAGTTGTTGTCGTTGTCGACAGTTGACATGGCGAGCTTTACAGTAGCTGACATCATAAATTGGCCAAAGCAACAGATGCCCACATACGGACAGTTGCCAAGCTTGCCGGGCGGGCGCACAACGCCTAGGAGACTGCGAACAACGTTGACCATGACAGAAAAAGGCGCCAAGAGTAAATAAAGAAAATGCTGAAAAATCTAAGATACTTCGCCAGCACAAGTAAAAGAAGAGGAAAAACGTAATCTTATAATCGCGATTAAATCGCTTACTCTGCACTAGCGAAAGTTAAAATGTTTCAGAATTAACTTTAAGCTCATCAATCATGGTACAAATAAATTGCTGTAAGGGCTTGAGGAGCTTCAAACTGAAATATAATATATGAAATGATTATTTTTTGGTTATGATTAGAAATAATCGAAGAGGAGGCATAAAGTCGAACTTAGGACAAGCTTTAAAGTAAATTTAGACATATTAATAAAATTGCTGATAAGTTATAAATCGAATATAAGAAAAGATTCATAGATAATTAAGCAAAAATATTTATAAATAATTGAAAACTCAAGCGATAACTGTTTGTATGCCATGAACAGTTAAGTAACAACAAAAGAAGGGGCAACAAAATCCAATCAGAGCTCACAAAATCAAATACAATAGAGTAAAAGAGAGTGAGAGAGAGAGAGAGAGTTTGAAATAGTTAAATAACTGATGATGGCAACAACCTTAGCTCAGCTTCGAGCAACAGATACAATAATCAGCGACGTGAAGCTGTGCGTTATTTTTATTTTTATTTGAATTTGAAGTTTTTTGAACCCTGGACCTAGGCGGAAGTCGCAGCACTTATGACTCATTTGATGGATAGATGGAGATAGAGACAAGGCAAGGCTGCCTGTGCGAGCAGCGAGAGTCCCAGATACAAATGCGGCTTTGGCCATTTTTTTGTCTTTCGGTTTCTTCGTGATTTTTTTGTTGTTCGGACTGACAACTTGAAGCCGCAAACAGCAAGATATTTTTAGTGGCTGGCCCTTCAAAAACGTTTTAGGAGCTGTGTGTCTGTGTGTGTGGGCGTAATTCTCACCCACTTCAACACTTCATTTAATAAATGTTGTAAACACGCACGAATTGAATTATTTATGCTTAGTTGTCATAAATTCATTTGGAGAGGGTCGCAGGGGTGGCACACCCACACATATAATGTGTGTGCGTGGGGGAGGGGAGGAGCTTCTGCTGCTGCAGCATCACAAAAACAGATGTGCGGCAATTAAGCGAACGCCAGAGCCGTTGACTGACAAACGCACTCAAATGTCAGGCGGCGCCTATTTTTAAGTTGGCTTATATGATTTACGATAGCAGCTAGAGTTGGAGCTGGAGATGGAGGTGGTGGTGGTGGTAGAGATGGAGAGGTTGGTTTGTTATCAAGAATTCGCCTACAGTTGAATTCTGTAATTAGAAATATGTTGCCGTCTGCAGCTGCAGTTGCCACTCCGAAGTGTGTTGGCAATTAAATTATGCGCTGCTGTCTTTTCGCTGACCCATTTCTGCGGGGCCAATGCTCAAAGGCAGGCAAACATTGGGCGAATGCCAGGCAGCGCGAACGGATGCCAACATTACTGAGGCACTGGGCTAAAAGGATGCCTCAAGAACTCAAACAAAAACATTAGCCCAAACCCACCGCCCTCCCCCACACCCACCAGCATCTAAAACTTGCAACGTTCTCTGCATTTGTCTGCCGCCAACTGAAATGAAAATGAAAATGGAATTAAGCACACAAGTTTGCCTAAGTATGTAGCAAATGGGCGTGTGTGTGTGTGTGCGTGTAGAATTCGTAGAACTTGTAGATATTTGTGTACGTATTGCTTTAGCTCTGCACTCGCTAGATACTTGCCACACATGCCCAGGCGAGTCGAGCCAAAGTGTTGCAAAGCGCAATGCAAACAAAAAGTTCAAGTATCCTCACAGTGTCTTATGAGTGCTTTGTCTGATTGTGAGAGTGCACGCGTGTGTGTGCATGTGTGAGTGTGTTTAAGTGTTTAAACTGTTACTCTTGCCGTTGTTCCTGTTGTTGCCTTTACAAGTGAATTCACTTGCATTCTCATTGCCACTGCCCATGCCCCTCTTCCGCTCGTCTCGCATTCCGACTGCTAAAGTCGAGTCAACTAAAATGGGCCGTTTATGTGCTTATATTGTTATATTTTCCCGACATGACTTTCGGCTTGTCTAACCCCTCGCTCCCTCACACTCTCCCTCTCCCTCTCGCTCTCGCACTCGTTCTCTGTTTTGCTATTTTCCAACTTGCACTTTGTGATTTTTCTTGAAATTTGCATGCAAACGCAACCGACTGAGTGGTCTCCTCCTCTAGATTCTAGACTCAAATGTGAACTACAAATAATGCAATGGAAGTCTGACGAATAATTCAAACAAAATACTTGTAGATAATAAAGAAAGTGATAGAAGGAACTCATATTTGGATTATATTTGATAACATGATCACAATCGTAGCTAGAGAACTGATTGTTAAGCCTCGCAATTACTCACTTTCGCTGTCGCCGTCTTTCGCTCAACTCCACCTCTCTCATTTCTGTTAGCCATTCATAAGACA